CTGGGGCCGAGAGTGTGGGGGTGGAGGTGAGTGGCTTTGGCTTTGGGGCAGGGGGACCATTTATGGCCAGTAGCTGGCAACATGCAGAGCCATGCCCCCAGCTGGTCACTCTGCAGTATAACTGCCCCCTTGCACTTGGTGTCCTCTTTGATCACTCTGGAGCATAACTGCCCCTGCTATCAGACCCTTCCCTTTCTGTGTTATGGAAAAGAATCTGATTCCAGGCTCATCCCATTATCCCGGTGCAACCAAAATCCTTCCTCGCTTTGAGTTAGAGTAAGAGGAAGCTGCCTACCAAATTTGGTGGGCCTAGCTCTTATTGTTTAGGAGGAGTTCTTCAACAAGTAGACTCACAAATGGATGGACAGACAGGTGCACACAGAGTTTTGAAAATATATAGTAAGAGTCAAATGAAACAGAATCACGAGACTCAGGAATCTGTAACTGGAACAATGACAGTCACAGAAACTGGATCCCTGAGGCTAGGTCTACACTACAGAATTTTTGTGCAAAAACTCGCAGAGCGTCCACACCTCACGCGCATTTTTGCGTAAATAAATCGACAGAACAGAGGAGTTTTTGCAGTAAAGATAGTCCTCTTTCTACGAGGAACAACTCCTTTTTGTGCGAGAGCTCTTGAGCAAAAAGGTGTGTGTGGACAGGGAATAGGGATTTTTTGCGCAAGAAGACTGAAGAGGAAAAAGCACAGTTGCCCTGGTGACCATTCTGTCCACAGCAATTAATGCTTACTTGCGAGAGAGCATCCAGTCAGTCTGGACCCTCTCTTGTGCAAAAACGCATCACTTTTTTTATGTGCTTTTGCAGTGTGGATGCACTCTTCTGTGCAGTCTGGATGCTCTCTTGTGCAAAAACACATCCCTTCTTTGAGCTTTTTCAGCTCTTGAGCAAGAAGCCTGTAGTGTAGACATAGCCTGAGTGTGAACCATGGTACAGCCATAGAATGAACTCTATCCTGAAGCTAAAACTGCATCTTCTCCTCATTATCTCTTGTATGCTTCATTAAGGCCCTATATCTTCCAGTATAGTTGTATTCAAAATATGTGGTTACTGTAGGACAAAATAAAAAATAGAGACAGAATTCTGCTTCTTTTTGTGATGGGAGAGGGAAACTCCCATTTAAATCAATATGATCCACATAAACCTGCTAAAGAGCAGTTGGAGATTGCATCCATGTAACAAAAGACAGAATTAGACCTTTTTGCTTTATATATGACCAATGTATAAACTGTCTGAATGAGAAACCTGAAGTAACTTTAGATAATTTTTTATGAATGAAGAATAGGTTTTAAGTCTACAATATAATCACTTTATAGAGACAACTTTGTGTGTCTAGAATTGAGAATGCAATGTTTGCTGGGTCCTCAAACATAATCTGTGCCAATCAAACTAGTGAGTACCTTTTTCTTATGCAATGTTGCTACCAGGCTGGTAGGAAAATAAATGCTTGATTGAAATATGAAGCAAGGAATCTAAGTGTTATTTATGTTGACTGCTTTCATTGCCCACCAGACGTCTATGGGAAAGCAAAGCTGGCAACGTTCAGACAAAACGGTAGTTATTCTACATGGAGGGCTAATGTGGCATTACTTGTTGAAGCTGAGACATTGAACATCATTATAGGGTTGGGACAAGTTGCAAAAAAAAAAAAAAAAGGAGCAGCAGTAAAGTGATTTTTCTCTAAAGTCTCACTAGACATCATATGTTCATATAATTTCAGGGAAATCCAGGAACTGTGGGCCCAAAAGGAAGTCGTGGCAATCCCGGAATTGGAGGAAATAAAGTAGGTTTCATTTCTTTAGCTACTTTTGTTGTTTCTGAAGTTCATTTGTTTATTCCTTTAGATTGCAGCTTGTATAGTAATGAGTTGGCTAAAGAGATTTTTCAATCCCTGTGTTTTAAAAAAAAAATTTATTCACAAGTGTTAAGATCATTTTAATTGCATTTAACAGGGAGAACCTGGTGATCCTGGACAGAAAGGACCGAGAGGACCATCAGGTCAATGGGGGATGCAGGTTTGTATTTTATTCTCTTGATGTGCAGAGAGTGGCCAACATCTAGTCCTTCGTTTATAAATCGCCTGTTCAGTTGCTTCTCTCTGCCCTCAAGGCATTTGGGTTGCTACACAGACAAATAAAATAATATAGACATTAATAGCTGGAGTATAACACTGTCAGAAAAAGTAGATGATTTTAAATGCAATGGTCTGCTCACAGGGAGAAGATGGCAATGTTGGATATGGTCGACCAGGAAAGAGAGGAGCAAAGGTAAACACAAAAAAGAAACAATAAATGAAAACTTTTAACTTATTTTTACATTGCTTTAATGGGAGTAAAAGCTGTGGGGGTGGAAAGGAGGGGGGTTCATTATCATCCCTGACTGTAAAGCCTGCAATCTAATCCACACAGACAGGGTTCAAGAATCCACCCGTATGGATCATATTGAAAAATTAGGGCCGGAGGTTGTAAAATCACAGGGAGAGGGCCCATTGTTGCTTTATTTGTCCATCAAGTGCCATGTGTACCTATGTCAACATAGAAACATTAGAAAATAAATTATAAACTCTTAAAGTGAGAGTAAAAGCAGTGATAACCCTACTTAGTCTGCATTGTAGCATTATTGTAGTTTTTCTGTAACAAAGATTTTAATGCTGTCCCTACTCAGGAAGATGTTGCTCTTGCCCCAGGGGGTTCCAGTGTAAAAGGACAAGCAACACACGAAAGGTGCAGACAGCGCCATAACTAGCTAATTTGGTGCCTGCAGCAAGAATATAAAATTGCACCCTCTCAGTTTGAAAAAGATGTGCCCTTAAGGAGACAGCGCCTGTCCTCGGTGCTCCCTCAGCTATGCGCCCGAGGCAAGTGCCTCACTTTCCTTGCCCTTGTTATGGCTCTGGGTTCAGGAGAGGAATACAATCAGATTATATATCCTTCCGTAGATATATTTTATATAGTATATATCTGTTTTACTGTCAAATAAATTTACATCTACTTTCATTAGGAAGGAGGCTGAGGGAAGCCCAAGCTAGGTCTCAGTCTTGCCAGGAGGGAGCTCTGGGCAGGCCTCTGTCTCCCTCAGAGGCTGGGCCTTGACTGAGGTCCCTGGCAGGGTTCTTATAGCCCTAGCCCCGCCCCTTGGCTTCTGGTCAGGTGAGTGGGCGGGGCTAGGCTGGGCCCAAAATGGCTCCCGGAGAGCCCCCCCCCCCCCCCCCCCCTTAAGTCCAGTTTACAGCCTCTGGGACTGGGCCTTTGCTCCTCTGCAGTGCGGGACAGTACATCTACATTTGCATTGTCCTTCCCTGCCTGGTGTTCCACAGTAAACACATATAGTTGTAGGGACAAGTACCAGTGCATAATGCAGCTGTTGGTATCCTGCATTCTGTGGAGCCATTTTAGGGGAGAATGGTCCGTAAAGAGATTAAAAGAGTCTCCCAAGAGGTAATATCTTAGTGCCTCAATTTCCCACTTTATTGCTAGGGCTTCCTTTTCATTTATGACGTACTTACGCTCTCGGGGGAACAACTTGCAGCTAATATATAGGACTGGATGTTCTTCACCTTCAACCATCTGGGACAGTACGGCTCCCAGGCCGCAGTCAGACGCATCTGTTTGAACGATAAAAGGTCATGTAAAGTCCGGGCTGAACAACACCTGCTCTCGGCACAGGGTATCTTTCAGGTCTTGGAAGGCGGTCTCTCACACAGTCATCCATCTGACCTTCTGTGGGCTATCTTTAATGAGGAGCACAGTGAGGGGTGCTGCTAGGGATGTGAATTGAGGCACGAAGCGGTGATAATAGCCCACTAATCCCAGGAACTGCCTCACTTTTCTTTTTGTGGTGGGAACCAGATAATTGTGAACGGCTTCCACCTTGCTCACTAGCGGCTGAACCAGTCCCCTTCCTAACTGATACCCTAGGTGTGTGGTATTTTGCCAACCAATTCTGCACTTTTTCGGGTTGGCTGTCAATTCCACATCTTGGAATGTTCTTAACACCACAGCTACTTGCAGGAGGTGGTTTTCCCAGTCACGACTATAAATTACTACATCGTCCAAGTAAGGGTCCTTGCCACCGGCTGAGAAGTTTTGACTCTTTCAAGGAGAGAAGAAGTAGAACCTGGTCCCCGGGCTCAAATGTTCACTCTTTGGACTGGCGGTTGTAAGCCTGCTCTTGGGACTCTTGGGCGGCATGCAAGTTTTCCTGGGCCAGTGCCCTGGCCTGAGCCAGTCGCTCCTGGAGCTGAACAATGTATTGAAGGAGACCTTGTGACGGTGAGAGGGTCTGCTCCCACGTCTCTCTGATCAGGTCCAGGATTCCCTAGGGACAGTACCCATATAGCAGCTCAAACAGGGCAAACCGAGTTGATGCCTGTGGTACCTCCCGAACAGCTAGTAGTAGTGGGGGCAGCAGCTGGTCCCACTGTTGTACTTCAGAGGGTGGGAACCTCTTTATCATCCCCTTCAAAGTTCGATTAAAACATTCAACTAGACCGTTGGTTTGGGGGTGATACACAGACATTTGTATCTTCTTGATACCCAGCAGGGTACAGACCTGTTGAAGCAGCTGAGAGGTGAAGTTGGCACCCTGGTCGGTCAAAAGCTCTCGGAGGAGTCCCACTCCAGTGAAGATTTTTACTAGCTCCGACGCAGTAGTCCGAGTGTAGATAGTTCAGAGTGGTATTGCTTTAGGGAACTGCGTGGCATAGTCCACTAGAACTAGGATGTAACGAAACCGTGCTTTGCTCTTTGGTAGGGGACCGACCCTCTCACAGGCCACCTGCTCAAAGGGGGTCCCTACTACCAGCAGGGGCATTAACGGGGCTTTCCAAACCCCTGGGTCAGCAGATCGCTGGCAGTCTGGACATGACTGACAATAGTCTTTTACCTCGCGATGTACTCCTGGCCAGAAGAACCACAAGAGCACCCTCACCAGAGTCTTCTCTGCTCCTAGTTGTCCTGCTGCGGGAATATCATGGGCAAGTCGCAAAACTGCTCTGCGATGGTACCAGGGTACAAGCAGTTGAGTCTGGACCTCTTGGGTGCGGGGATCTCATGTGACCCGGTAGAGGTGATCAGCCTTCAACTCAAAGCGAGGCCACTGGCAGGCTTTCTGTGGGTACACCATGGAACCATTGACACTCACCAGCTGTTCGTAGGCTGCCTTCAGAGTGGGGTCATTGCGTTGGTCCCGCGGGAAGTCTGTCAGGGTGAAGGCCTTGGCTTTCACCCCAGGAAGCAAAGGGGGGGGGTCATCGGGCAGCTTGCCCAGTTCCCTCTCCTGATGGCCCATATCCTCGGCCAGCTCCTCTAGCTGGTCTCCTGGTGGGGTTTCCCCCAGAAAGTTTCCTTCTGCCTCGGCTAGGCCTGACAACGCCCCAAGTGCAACTTCCCTAAGAAGATTAGAAAACCCTGGCCAATCCCGACCAAGGATAACAGGGTATGGTAGTGCAGCGGTGACCCTCATGATCATCTCCACAGTCCTCCCCTTTATCGTGAGTAGGACCCTAGCACGGGGATAGGCCGTCACCTCCCCATGTACACAGCGCAGGTATAGCTCCCCGTCTGTCTCTATGCCTTCTGGAAGCACATCTTGGTGAACCAGGGTCTGCCCACAGCCTGAATCAAGGATGGCTGTCATCCCCTGTGGGTCCCCCAGTGCGGGGACGGTGAACCTGATGGGGCTGGTGGGTAGGGCATAAGTTTCTGCTGGGCAGACCTGACCATAGCTGCAGTCCATCTCAACACAGTCGCGCTGAAGGTGTCCCTTGCAGCCCCATGTAAAAGAGGCTCCCAGCCTCGTGATAGCAGGCCGAGTAGGGCTATTGGCCGAAGGGTACCACCGTCATTCTCGTGGCACCGGGCGTGGGGCCGTTGGGCTGTCTCCTTCCTGGAGCTGGTCTGGACGTTCGGCCGGCCGAACCCGAGAGCGCGGAGCTGCCCTTGGTCGGGGTGGAGGCGTCAGTGCTGGGGTGCGTACTCTCATCCCTGGGCTGGGAACAGCAGCACCCGGTCCGATAGGGGTCTCCGCTGCTAAGAAGTCCTCCATCAGGCTGACCACTTCCGACATGCTTGTCGGTCGGTGTCAGAGAACCTAGGCACAACCGCGAGAGGACAGCACCTGAATGAATTGTTCTAGCGCCACCTGCTCCAAGACCTCCTCAGCGGAGCTCTGCTCAGGGTGGAGCCACCGACGACAGAGGTTCTCAGCTTCCTGGGCCACAGCTCTGGGGCCAGCCCTGGGAGCATAGGTCACCGAGCGGCATCGCCAGCGGAAGGTCTCTGGGGAAACGTCCAAGGCATCTAGAATAGCGGTCTTTACCTTCCCATAATCCTGGGCTGCCCCAAGGAGAAGGGCCTGGTACGTGGCTTGAGCTGGTCCAATTAGGTAGGGGGCGAGAAGCATTGCCCATTGGTCTCGGGGCCACTGCATCACCATGGCCATCCACTCTAATACCTCTCAAAGGCCTCGGGATCATCCTCCGGCATCATCTTCTTGAGGCAAACCGGTGCTGACGGCCCAGCAAGCCCTCCTGTTTGGCCCAACGAGGGTCCCTCCAAGCGGGCCCAGCACATGGCCAGCTGCTGAAACCCCTGCTGGTGAAGTTCCTGCTGCTGCGTGGCCATCTGCTCTAAGATCTGCTGCTGCTGAGTGCCCAGCTGCTGAACAAGCTGTTGCTGCACCGCCAGCTTCTTGGTCAGCTGCTGCTGCTGGCTTTCCACCAGGAACTTCAGCAACTTGTCCATCTCCATCTTTGTACACTCCCCACCCCCGCAACTACAGGTCACAATAAAAAAAACCCCAAAGTCCTCTCTCTCTCTCTTTTTCTTTTGTACTACTGAGGCACGTCCTCAACCCCTTACATCAGGGGTGGGATCGATGTACCCACATTCTCCACCATGTGTAAGCCAGTTAAGCTTTCCAGAGGAGTTCCTCTGCCTCCGGCTCAGTGGACGGCCACTCCGCCCCACTACAGGACCCAGCTAGGATAATGTCCAGATTGAACAGACAAAGGGGAGTGAGGCAGGGCGGGGAACAGGTTAGCAGTAAAGATCGTTTATTTATGCAAAGGAACCATCTTAGTGTTTGGAGTCACAGATGCCTGCTCACTGTCCGACTCTTATCTGCTTTCAGGAAAGATCAGTAAAACTTCCCTGGAGTATTTTGTCTGTAGAGTCACTTCCTTTTTCATTAATCAGTGCAATTAGGAGCACATGGCTTGGACATCCTAGTAAAGTACACTGCTTCTTTATGTATATTTAAAATGATACATGCCTGAGCTCAATAAAATAAGGAGGAACAGAGAGCTTTTCGAAAGCTTTTTCTCTTTCTTGCCAGATTCCCTGGACTTCTCTATGCATGTCTTTTAACCTCACCTTAAAACTCCCTTTTTCTGGCAAGACCATCAAGATTAATCCACTTTAATAACATGTTGTTACACCCCAGCTGTACCTCTCCCAAGATGCGATGTGCATCCTGCCCTCTCCCTGCCCCCCACCTCCATGGAGGCCCTTCCCTGCACCCCCTTCCTGAGAAGCATCAGTTACTTCTGACTCTGCCCCACAAAATACTTGCTACATTCTAAGGACTTCGCCAAGAAAGGTGCTTTTATTGGGGATTTAGGGCAGGCAGCTCATTGCAAGGTCAGGTTCTAAACTTCCTGGGCTGCAGATGCATTTTGGATGCAGTGCAACTCCCATTAAAATCAACAGCTGTCTTTTCATCGATTCTATCAGGAGTTGGATTGGGCCTTTTTTGCACAAATTGTTTCATTCTGCTTAAATTATAAGCTTCTTGCATAAGGGGCTGCGTCAGCTTTTGCATTTTGTACAATCCATGTTAGCACCTCAGAAATAATAGCTAGCAATAGTAACACGGTCGCCTGCCCAATGCCAGTTTCAGTGTTTATTACAGCAGTGATTTTTGAAAAGCCAAACAGAGTAGAAAAAACTAAGTAAAAATATAATTGTGATGATAATTCTATTTTATGTACTGTAACTAACAGGGACAAGATGGATTCCCAGGAGAGACTGGACTCAAGGTATTCTACTTCACATTAATGTTGTCACTTTCTGATCAGTGGACTTGGCTCTCCATACTCCAGATCACCACTTTTGCATTAACAGCACTGTGCTGCAGTTATAGTATGTTTGCATAAAATCGGGATACCAAAGTGGAGTCTGTAAGAATGGCAATAAGTTTCAATAATACACTTTTGCTAGAAAAAGAAAAGTAACATTCTTCGTCTTTCATGGGAAGAAAGTCCTGATTTATCTGTCAACATCTTGTACTGAAATTCTTTGTGATACTAAAGTACTACAAAGATTTTTCTTCTGTCTGATCACCTTACTGCCTGGAGATTTTTAACAGTTTTTTTATTTATTTATCACTTTTAATTATTGTGTGTCATTTCTGAGGTTCCTGCTAGAGTCAAATCTTATTTAGAGATGTGCTAGAAAAGCCTCTGGGAACATGATTCTCCAAATTAGGAATAGACAAGTGTTGTGTCTGCCAATGTAGGAGTATGTGTCCCACTTCTTCCTGTTGTTAATGTGGAGCAGGAAGCAGACGATGTCAGCAGTTACAAAGAACAGTTATCCCAACAAAGCGCTAGAAAAAATTCCTAGATAATATCTTGCACAGCTTTACATACACTTTTGCGTTGTGTGTGATATAGTCCATTGAAGCTATATATATGAAATATGCATGATTTGTTCTGTGCACACATATGAAATATGACATCAGTGTGTTGCATAAGTGATGGTGAAAATATGCGGGTATGTATGTTTATATAGATCAACTAAATTATTTGGCTAAGCCCAGCCCATAGTAGAAAGAGAGAACAGTTGTCAAATGTGGATCTGTATCAGGATTTGGATTGTGAACATGTTTCCTCAAAGTTCACACGTTGAGATCCAGACTTTTAGTTCAGGTCCATCTCTAAAAATCAATCTATTTCCAAAGTAATCGGGTGGAGGGTGAATGGCTGGCCTGTGGAGTCATGTCCCCATCCCTACCCCTTCCATGCCCATAGGAGCCCAGCCACCATTGTCAGCTGCTGGCCCCTACCCAAGGCTAGCGCCTTCCATACCTAGCACCAAGCAGCTACCCACACCAGCTTCCCCCTCCCAGCTCTAGGGCACCGGCAACCTCATCTGCCTCCCCAGCCTCCAGAGCACTGAGCAGCCACACGGCTCCAGCTCCCCCAGAGCAGCTGTGCAGCCAAACACTCCAACCTCTGGAACAGGGGCAGGAAAGCAGCCCTGGCCCTCAGAGGAGCTGGGTGGCTGCACCTCGGCACCATCCTTCCTGGCCAGGTAGAGCATGGAAAGGACCACCCCTGTCTTTTTGGGAAGGCAATGTCTTTGCTTGCCTACATTACCCACGATCTGTGGCAATTAGTTAAGGGCCAGCTCACTCCTTGCTTTCCTGCATCAATAAGGTTCCACTGCACAGTGCCTGTGATGGTCTGCTCCCCGATACTGAACTGGGGGTAGTTATGAATAGGCTTGGAAGAATACCTTTTAATTTATGATAATTTTTAAAAGCATTTTTCTTCAATTTGGGGAGGGCAGGTTCCAATTTGAATTTTCACAGTTGCAAGAGATTACAGGGTCAGACAAATTTATTAAATATCAGCAGACACCTATTTTAAAAAATAGTTTTATAACCATTAAAACACAAATTGCCAACTTCATATGTAAAAATGTGTAAATAGCCTTATATCAAATTCTAGTTTGCTCTTAAGCAGCATTACTTTATCTTGTAAATTCCTGTTATTATTGATAGAAATGTTTTTCTAGTCAATTTGTAGGTGTACAGAGAAATTGATGTTTATCAACATTTACTTGTAAAAATCAAATCCTTCTAAGTTATGGAGATGTTATTAGGTGCGTAGACAAGCTTAGGTGGCAGAGGGTCAGTGTTTAGAACCATTATGTGTTAACAAAAAAATCAGACATAGAGTGTTAGCAAACTAAATAAACAGCCATTTCTATGAAGAAAGCATAAGAACTTAAAAATTCCCTGCTGACACCACAAAACATGCACTTTCTGAAAGAATCATTTGGGGTACGTCTAGACTACATGCCTCTGTCGCCAGAGGCATGTAGATTAGGCTATCAGACATAGTAAAATGAAGCGGCGATTTAAATAATCGCCGCTTCATTTAAATTTACATGGCTGCCGCGCTGAGCCGACAAACAGCTGATCAGTTGTTTGTCGGCTCAGCACGGCAGCCATGTAAATTTAAATGAAGCGGCGATTATTTAAATCGCCGCTTCATTTTACTATGTCTGGTAGCCTAATCTACATGCCTCTGGCGACAGAGGCATGTAGTCTAGACGTACCCATTGTGGGGTATGGTTAAAACAGACCACACACAGTGCTACTTGAATGTATATGTACTTTCATACATACTGATTTCATACCAGTCTCTGTGCTCTTAAAAGCGAGATGTATGAATGGAAGAAATAAAGAGCAATAGCCATTTCTTGAGTTCACATTTTTGTTTTAACGTAATAGCCATTTTCACATTTTAATTTTTCTGTATCTAATTAGGGTGAAATTGGAGATGCAGGCATTTCAGGAGAACCTGGGCCAAAAGGGTCAAGAGGAAAAATGGTAAGAACACTTTTGTAGTCTTTTATGATTATTGATTTGTCTTGAGGTTGGCTTGTTCGTGCAGAAATACCCTGTCATTTTACCTGCCCAAGTGGTAGAAATCTATTTTAATTGATGTCAGGTATCAGAGGGGTAGACGTTTTAGTCTGGATCTGCAAAAGTGACAAGGAGTCCTGTAGCACCTAAGGTGCTTTTATTTTAATTGGGTATCTTTTACCATGCTGAATTTATGTGCATTACATCTCGTGGAAGCACAATAGTCCAGATCCTGCACTCTGATGCAATTGCTTTATGCACATTAGCACATCTAAAACAGTTATAGCCAGCTATGGGAGATCAACCTAGTGCAAGAAGCGGCCTTTGGTGGCCTATGGTTTGACGCCATGGCTGTCTCTTCAGTACAGTGTAATGGACCACTGCCTTGTATGGTCTTTACAATTTGTGCTGTTTATGCTAAACAATCTGTTTAAACAACCTTGCATTTTTCTGTGATGCTGGGAGTACTTTCCTTAGACCTGAAGAACTGTGTGTGACTTGAAAGCTTTTCCCTCTCACTAACTGAAGATGGTCCAGTAAAAGATATTATATCACCCACCTTGTCTCTATTTGGCTTTGGCTACTGTCAGAAGAACCAATATCGTGCTAGAGGGACCATTGGACTGACCAAGTATGGCCATTCTTATGACCCATGGAAGACTAGTGTAGCACAGAGCTGGCTCCAGGTCAGGGAAACATAGTCTAATTATCTTATAGAAATACTGTGGATGGCTGATGTTACAGGGAAGTTAGCAGAGTAGGCCAATATATTCACAGAATTGAATAGAGTTAAAGGCATGTAAAGCAATAATGGGATGGAGAACTGGGCCCCAGAAGAGAGAAATACACAATACTATCAGAATGCTATATATACCATTTGTAGATTGTAATTTATGTTAATATTTCCAGGGTGTTGCAGGTTTTCCTGGTGAGAAGGGTATTCCAGGAGGCCCAGGACCTCAGGGACGCAGGGTACGAATTGACTACATAAATTTATGTAATTTTTTTGCATAAAAAGTTACTCGCTTTAAATTTGAAGATGGGGATCAGTGATTTTTTTCATGTCTCAGGCTACACAGTATTATTATGTCTATACTCGCGGCTCCTTGCAGCTACATTGATTATTTTCAGGAATAACGGCATTGTGCAAGAGGGTTTTTCTTGTGCAAGAACGGGCAGTGTAGCAGCTCCTTCTGGCACAAGAACCTCTTCTACAAAAATGGCGGCTCATTAGGTATGCAAATGAGGGTCAGCGATATTCCACACTTAGCCTCATTTGCATATTTCTCGCGCAAGAAGCTGCAAGTGTAAACATTGCCTATGTGTTCAATAGTCTAAATCTATGATATACGAAGGAGAATGTTTGTATGTTTGCTTTCATAACTTGGACACTATAAGAGCTACCGCAACCAAACTTTGCATGGGATAACCTTTCATCCAGGAGAAGGTTTTAAGGTACTGTGGGAGGGAAGAGATGAGAGACCGACGCCTCTCCCTGGGGCTGCACGGAGCCTGGCAGCGCGGGGAGAAGCGGCTTCGCGTTAGACCCCAAATCTAATTTTATATGCAATTTTAGGCAACTATTTCAATGCCTAATTGTACTTAAAACATAATTGCACCTTTTTCATTTGGACCTTAGTTCTCTCCTGAAAATTGGCAATTAAAGAACAAGACATTTGCATTCTGTGAGTTGCAATATTTTTAAAAAATTAGGAAAATATATCTAGTTTTTGGATTTTTTTCTATCCATGTCAGATGTTTGCAACTTGCTGTTTTCTGACTCCAGCTAGTCATTAATACGCTCACATTCTGGGGTGTCAAAGATAGATATAGGTTCTTGATTGTCACTTTGAAAATGCTAATTATGTATGTTTGCTAGCAGTATGAAATAAATGTGTGAGTCTGCATGTATATCGTATTATCTTACCATACTTCAAACTAAAATATTGAAAAAAGGTCCAAAGTTCATGCGTGTAATTGCATGTTTGAATTTTCAAATTATGCAGCTGAGACTACAAATCAGTTATTTGTACACGAAAATTTGTACATACTATTTAGAAGCCCAAATCTAATTTTATATGCAATTAGGAACATATATCTGTTTTTTGGAATTTTTCTATCCTTTTCAGATGTTTGCAACTTGCTGTTTTCAGGCTGGAATTCAAAGATCCCAAAAGAAGTGAGCTGAGATTTCACTCATGTCAGAAATTGAATCTGGACTCCATTCTTGTTTTCAGTCATTACTGCTGCTTCTGCCCAGTAGCGTCATACAAGGATACATTAGCCTGACGTTTAGGGGCAGCAACATAGCATCTGATTTTCAAGGATGTTGCGCACTTGAATTCAAATATATATAATATATATAATTCTTCTTTCTCTCCCTAAACCCCACTAAAATAAAATAACTCCCTGTTTTCCTTTTTGAGTATCATGATCCCAATATTTGGAACTGCTACAATAAATAAATTGCTACAATAACAGAATAAATATTAAATTAAAAGAGATAAAATACACAGGTCTTGTTTTACAAGTTATCCTTGCAATTTAATTACTGTAATTATCCTTGTGATTGAAAACATTCAATTACGTAGTAATCTATAATCTTGTGCTTCTAGGGTCGGAAAGGAACAATGGGACTCAACCCTTTTCAAGTATGTATCTCTGGCATATTCTATATTAAATGTATATTTAAAAATAGCCCACTTCATCAGCAAAAAAATCCTTTCCTTGTCCATGTTTTGTTTCTGTTCTGCAGCCATGTGAGCTCATTGACTACCTGCGCAAAAACAGCCGTAAGTACTATATCTTGCTTTATAGAATTCCATCACCAAAGGGCCAGCACTTGAAATGATATTTTAGGGTAAGAAAATGAAGAGGTGTAGGGAGGAGGGGTTTAGATTTATTAGGAACTGGGGACAGTTTTGGGAGAGGGGGAGCCCATACAGAAAGGATGGGCTCCACCTAAACCAAGGTGGATCCAGGCTGCTGGCACTAAACATTAAGGGTATGTCTACACTACCCTCCTAATTCGAACTAGGAGGGTAATGTAGGCATACCACACTTGCAAATGAAGCCCAGGATTTGAATTTCCCGGGCTTCATTTGCATAAGCCGGGCGCCGCCATTTTTAAATCCTGGTTCGTTCGAACCCCATGCCGCGTGGCTACACGCGGCACGGACTAGGTAGTTCGGACTAGGCTTCCTAGTCCAAACTACCGTTACTCCTCATTCCACGAATCTTGATTTTCAGTGCAAGTTCAGCTAAACTGGGCTAAACAGAAAATATTTGGCTGAGCATTAGAATATTTCACTCCAGTGTCTTGAACCATGAAATTTGCTGAAACAGAAACTCAAGAGTTTACATAATTTGCTGAGTTCTATCTATTTCTTAAACTCTGTTAGACACCAGACACAGCAGAAACATACAGTAGGAACATGCAATGCATATTAAGGGAAATCCATGTGCACTTAATAATTTCCACTGAAACTAAAGAGTGTTTTGCATTCTAAGAGAATTCTGTAAAATTATAGGTGGGCAATTTGTGATGCTAACAGTTTTCTTTTTCAAAGTTATTTTAGGACTGTTTTAAAAACATGCTGTATAATAATTTCCCATCTTTTTCTTTTATTTAGCTTGTTGGCAGGGTAAGTACTTTTTATCATTATATTGTTTGAACCAAAATCTTAAAAAGTATCCATGTGTCTGGAAAAGGTGGTTTAGATCAGTGGTGCACAACTTTTTTCCTGGCACAACCCTCTGGCGTTGCACTTTTTAAAGCTCCCCACCTCCTTGTAGATCAACTCCTGTTTGACTGTGGATAATTTAAGCTGAACAACTGAAGCTCTGCAATTCCATAAAGAGAGCATGCCACTTGTTCCTTGCTCATCATATCGCTACGTCTTAATTCTGTCAGACTTTTCTTCCACTTGGCATTCCCTTCTGCTTTAATTATTCAATGATAGCTACCCCTGAGCTTGCTGAACTAATGCAGATTTGAAAATAAATATTAACCTGTTTTACCTCTTTTTTTCACTTCAGGAAAGCTAGTGCTGATTATGTGAATCCCCATTGCCTAATATTGTATCAGCAGAGTCTAGATAAGACAATGTACACTAGAATTCAGTTGATCCCTGTCAATCTTGATATTTTGTTCAGTTGATCTCTATTTGTCTATCTCAATATCTTACTATCCAGCTAGAGCCAAAAAAACATTAAGAAAATAACACTTAGGTCTAGGTCCTGTGTTCTTCTGAGTTATTCTAGTTCTATTTGTGACCTGATTTTGAGAGATGCTGAACAGCTGCATTTCCATTCAATACAGTGGGAGATGCAGGTGATCAACACCTCTGAAATTTAGACCATTAGCATAAAGATACTTATGGTGTAACTCTTCAGATCACTTGCCTTTTAACCACGCATACTGAAAATTCTGTCATTTACCCTGCAGCCCTCACATGAGTTACTTTCATCATGTGAGCTGTTCGGCAGTGATTACAAAGGTTTTACTTCTATGGCTCTTTATGAGGTTTACTCACATTTAAGGATTTGACCTTAAAACTTCATTTGTCCTTCTCAGTATCTGCTGAAGTATATATTATCCAAGGCCACTTTGCAAACAAATATACTTGGAGATGATTGTCAAGTCCCTTGGGAAAACCTGCCCCATTGTTTTCTTCTCCTCTCATTCCCAGAAGTTCCTACTGAGTTTCTTGGGCTATATCTACATTTCAGGCTTCTTTCAGAAGATGATCTTCTGGAAAAACTTATTTCAAAAGAGAGCATCCACAAGGCAAATGCATTACAAAAAAGCGATCTGCTTTTTCGAAAGATAGCATCTAATCAATGTGAACTCTCACATTTAAGTTGTGATTACTTTGGATGGAGTGGTCACCAGGGCACCTATTCTTTGAGTCCACCAACCTTGGAATAAAGGGGATTGGACATATGATTAGAATGGCTGCTTCTTTTTAATGGATTAGAGTGATTGATGTGTGCTGTGATATCCCCAGATCCTGAGATTGCTGCATCCACAGCAGAAGTGAGAAATCAGTATTCATCTTGTAATTAAGAATTTCTTCACATTGAGCATCACCCTGGCAACTGTTCACATGAATTTACTGTCCTCAGAATTTGCATCTATTTGCAATTCTAGATGTATTGGAGTTAGTAGGCCAGTGCACAGAAACAAAAAGGAGATATTCTTCTTCTTTTAGTTTAATTTCCACAAATCCTTTAAGTTTACAGTGCAATCCATCATCAAGTCTCCTCATATAAATGTTTTCAACTTATATTCTACTGGCCTTCCCTTGTATGTTTCTGAACTGTTTCTTGGTGTATTAGTATCCTTGATTCTTTGCATCATTTGTCTTTGAAATTGGTAAAGCCCCCTTATAGCTAATCTTCTTGAATGTTATAATTGCCAGTTCCAGAGAACTATATGTTTTTACTTTGTATCTTTCTCATATATCTTTGTGTCTTGTTTAGGGATGTCAAAATATGGATATTTAACTAATTGAGTAGTCGATGGAATTTTTATCAGCTACTCGATAAGTAGATAGGCAGCCCAGCTCAGTTCCAGGTTGTGCTGAGAGTGGGATCAAACCCCGCTGCAGCTCTGCAATATAAAAGGCAGTATGAGCCAGGAACCTGGGCCAATGGGAACTGTGGGGGCAGTGCCTGTGGACATTGGCACTATGGGTCATATATACTGCCTACCAACCCCTCTGTGTAGGGACCAGACAAGGAGGCTGCTTCTGGGAGCCATGTGTAGCCAGGACTGTCCTGTATGTCAACTTCAGTTTGGAACATGTGTTAATAACACCATACAGTGAAATCTTATAACTTTACAGACAGCATTGCTGCACGCATTTTATCAGGGCAATAATGACCAGTGAAGATGGAAAATAATCCATCACCATCCTCTTCATAACAGCCCTTTATATATTTTAAGACTGTTACCAGGTCCCTCTCAGTCTTCTTTTCTCAGGACTACACATGCCCATTCTTTTAACCTTTCCTGACAGGTCAGCTGTTCTAAACTTTTTATCTTTTTTGTTGCTTTTCTCTGTATTTTCTCCAGTTTGTCCATATCTCTTTAAAAGCGCGGTACCTGTAACTAGATGTGATACTTTTACTGAGGCTTCGCCAGGCTTGTTGGGAGGGTCGAGGGGGGAAGAGGCTTGCCCCTTTAAGGGTGTCCATTTTTAATTCTGTTCTCTCCGCGGCACACCTCCAACTGCCTCACGGCACACCAGTGTGCCACGAAACACACTTTAAGAAACACTGGTGTAGCTGAAGTCAAAATAGCTTAATTCAGCTTTTGGTGCTGTCTACACAGCAGGAAGTTGAAGGAAGAACATTCTTCCTTCAAATTCCCTTACTCTTTGTGAAATGAGGTTACAGGAGTTGAAGTAAGAACTCCTCTATCTTGAAATTATTTTGAAATAATGGCTTGCTGTGTAGCTGAGCTCTTGGTTATTTTCGAATAACATGAATTACTGGAGTAGCATGTGTAGACATAGCCTTAGTTTGTTAAAGAAACTCTTGGCTGCATCTAGACTGCCATGATTTTGCACAAATACTTTTAACGAAAAAGTTTTTCCGTTAAAAGAATTTGCGCCAGAGAGCGTCTATACTGGCATGTGCCTTTGCACAAAAGATTTGCTTTTGCGCAAAAGCATCCATGCCAGTATAGATGCTCTCTTGCGCAAGAAAGCTCCGATGGCCATTTTAGCTATCGGGCTTTCTTGCACAAGAAATTAACTTGGCTGTCTACACTGCCCCTCATGCGCAAGAATACTTGTGCAAGAGGGCTTATCCCTGAGCAGGAGTGTCAGAGTATTTGCGCAAGAACCACTGATTTTGTCCAGTACAAAGTCAGTGTTCTTGAGCAAATAGTCGCGGCCCGTGTGGACAGGCAGCAAGATTTTGCACAAAAGCGGTCACTTTTGCGCAAAATCTTGCCAGTCTAGATGCAGCCCTTGTGTTTCTCTTTTCTCAGAGGTTTATCTTATGTGTAGGTGCCATCTAGGTTCTCTTTATGGCCCATACAATGAGCTTAGGTTACAGTTTGCTTTCTGTTCACTAGCTTTATTTTCAGCTCTGTCTTTTCTAACACCACATGTCTCTACCATTGGGAGTCACTAAACATACTGAAACGTTAATCATAGAAGTACTTCATGCTTTGCTAAGGTTTAGTGTTGCATTTCAGTAAAGTACAGTTGACATGGTAGACCCCATTGTGCCTGATGAGCATGGACCGAGGGTAATACAGAACTATGTTACCACAGGAAGTGCTCCAAGAATGATTGTGCCTTTGGAAACAATCCTTTCTGGACAGAAAGAAAAATGCTCCATAATCCCTCTCTGCACTCAGTCAGTTTTGCAAGCCTGTATATAGGATGGAAGGGGACATACCGTTGATTTTGGTTTCTTCCTACCCCTCTCTTTTCTCCTCCCCCATTCGAAGGAGTACAGGGACTACAGTTGTGTCCCCCAATTCCACTCTTCAGTGCAGTGTCTTAAAAAATCTCATTGCATTCATGAACTATAGCCCAGCACCATTTGACCTTGTATCATTTTCTGTAGAGTGAATCCGTAGATAGCATCATGTTGCATGCTATCTAGGGAAAGCAACATTAAATAGTTATTAGTTACTTGAAAATAGCTTGCATTTTTTTTTATCTTCTGTGATGTTTATAACAACTGTTTTATGTTCTAGGAAAACCAGAATGTCCAGTGTATCCAACAGAACTAGTGTTTGCTTTGGACATATCCCAGGATGTCACATCCCAGTTATTTGAAAGAATGAGAGAAATTGTAACATCAGTAGTGAATCACACCAAAATTAGGGAAAGCAACTGCCCCGTGGGAGCCAGAGTCGCTATTGTATCCTACAATTCCAATATCCATTATCTGATCCGCTTCTCTGAGTTCTACAGTAAGAACCAGCTCCTTACCAAAATTAAAAATCTGGCTTATGAGAGGTCTTCAAGTGAACGGAATATTGTCAACGCAATGAGATTTGTTGCCAAGCATATTTTCAAACGAACTCTCCCAAGTCCTAATGTCAGAAAAATAGCAGTGTTTTTCAGCAATGGGCCATCTGTAAATGAAGTGGCTGTTAACACAGCAGTTCTAGAGTACAGTGCATTTGATATTGTTCCAGTGGTTATTGCTTTTAATGATGTGCCCGTCATCAGAAGTGCTTTCATGGTAAGAAAACCACTAACATTTTCTTTTTGATGTTCAGCAATAAGACTTTGTATTTCACAGCCTTCAAAACATAGTGGGGTCACATTCAACTTTTGGTGTAACTCCATTGTCTTCAGCGGAGTTACATCCAGAACAGAACTGGCCCACAGTATTGGTTATTGTGATCATATATGGGACCAAATCCTGCAGCACTTCCATGAATAGTCCTTATTAATGCTAGTGATTGCATTAAAGTTAGTACACATACTTGTATAAGGATTGTGCATCCTGTAAGATTCTTAATCAGCGTATTCAATAAATTCAGGAAAACTTGGCCTGATTCTCCACTGGCTTACACCTTATATTGTCTGTCGTTTACCCCTGTTCAAAGTGAATGCAGAATGACAGTAAAACTACCAAACCAGTGTGGGGGTGTTTTCCACGGGGAGGAGGGAGGTTAAAAGATAATTATGCAAGGGGCAAAGCAGTGGAGAATCATTACTGTGTGGTAGCTTGCAGAGATATCACTGACTACATAATCTAAAGATAGCACAGAGTTGCAGCTGTACCTTGGGGTATTATTTGGCCTGCTGAATCTTGATTAATGTTGATGTGTGAAATTGAAAGAACCCAAGTTGATTGTCAACAACCAAATTGAGTTGGTAGGGGGAGGAGGTGTCAGACTGAAAAAAGTATCTTTATTGCTGATTGTGCAAACATGATATGAAAATCATTAAGGCACACTGAAAATGGAGAGCCATAAGTTAGTCATTATCTTTAGGATGGCAGAGAAATTTAAGCTTGGATTTCCCAACAAAACATATCAAAGAGCAGATCTGGGCAGTTTGCATAGGTTTAGGAGCAATGACTTTTATGTTACTATATTTTTATTTTATTGTAATAGTCAGTGCAACTTTAATGTTGCTTTAACATGGATTGAGGTATCTAAGATTAGGTGCAGTTCCTGTCCAGCTATCTAACGTCCAGTTACCACAGTATAATTATAGGGTAACACTGTCCAGGGCCAAATGCTGATCACATGGGCAAAATTAGCAGGATTTGAGCCGTTACAGCACTCACTACACAGTGTATAAAAATGTATTCTGTATTAGTGCTACTCTAGTACATCCTCTGAAGAGATGGTTCTTTTGAAGCATTTTTTTGCTGGAAGGGAGAAAAATCAGTTTGAATCTTCCAGTTTCAACATTCTGTGCTTTGAGATTGTAAAAATGACTTTCAGAAGAGCAGGAGAAAGACTGGAAGCCAAACCAAAAGATATAGTTGCCACTATTAAGATAAATCAGTTTAACAAGGGGATGTGGGGTACACAGCCACCATCCAGGGAGCCCCTCTGCAGCAGGATGCGGCACCTACCTCAGTTTCCCCTTGGAATCCACTTGTGTAAAGGAATGTTGTCTTCAATCCTGTAGAAAGGTCTTCATTCCCCAGTCACCCACCCAAGAGTCACAAACCTCTAGGTCCCTGTTCCTTTAGCCTCTGTTCCAGGCCTCACTCTCCAAGACTCGTGACTCTTCTCCTGTAGCCTCAAGGCAGGTCTTCTGGGACAGAACTCTCCATAGCATCCCACAGAGCCAGGCTTTCTACCTGGTGAGTCCTACCCCTGCTCAGGGAACGTCCGTTCAGGACAACCCCCTTGTTCATGGCTCCGCTTCCTCCAGTCCTACACTGAGCCTTGTGCAAAGGGGCTTCCTCTAGTGTATTCACAGAGACCACTCTGCCTGTAACCCAGGGGTGGGCAATAATTTTTAATGGGGGAGCCACGCCAAGATTTTGGCAAGTGCTCAAAGCCACATTTCTACCAAGAGGGCTTGGGATCTCAGACAGAAGTTTGATGCAGAAGGGAGCTTGGTGTAGGAGCCTGGGGTGCAGGAGAAGATGTGGAGGCTGAGGAGTTTGGGTGAAGAAGGGGGTTGTGATCTGGGCCAGAGGCTTGGGGTGCAGAGTCCAGGAGGAAGTATGGGTGAGGGAGGGGCTCTAGGAGGGGGTGCAAGTAATGGGAGGCAGTTGTGACTGGAGAAAACGGATACTGAGAGTTTGGGTGCTGGCCTGAGGCAGGTGGCTGAGAGGGGCAGAGCGGGGGTGCCAGAGGCAGGCTCTGGCTGGGAGGCACTTACCTAGGCAGTTGCCAGCCAGCAGCCCTTCAGGAACATGGAGGCTGCAGTCGCAAGCTGCTCCATGTGGTTCTGCTCAGGGCAAGGTGAAGTAGTGTGTGTGGAGGGGAGAGGAGGCTTCATTGGCTGCCCTTGCAGCCAGCAAAATATCTCAGCTGCTATTGGTCAAAAACTGGCCAATGGGAGCTAAGAGATTTTGCTGAGGGCTGGGGCAGAACACAGCCTCCCTCCTTGCTCCCAAAATAGAGCAGGCACATTTAAAGCGGCTGTCTCTCCGCCGCAGGCTGGATCCAGACTCTTGGCCCACTGGCAGCCTCTTGCCTACCCCTGCTGTAGCCCCTGCCCCCAGGATCCACCCTCCAGCATCAATGTTCCTTGTTTGGGGCTCAAGTTCTCTCAACCGGCCAGGTCCTTCTCCTTCCTCAGGTGCTTGGCGGTTCGGTCCATCAGTGGCTATTAGCCAGGGTGGGTAGGAATGGTGTCACTAGCCTCTGTTTATCTGGAGGTGGGTGACAAGGGAGGGATCAGGTGAGGATTACGTGTGGTGTTCCCTCCCTTTGCGGCACCTGGCATTGGCCACTGTCTGCAGACAGGATACTGGACTGGATGAACCTTTGGTCTAACCCTGTGTGGCCGTTTTTATGTTCTGCACAATCTCTTTAATTCTGCAAGATTCTCAAAATCCCTGATCTGGTCAGGCACCACCACTGACCTTTGCTTTTTCCAATGGCTCTCTGCACAGCTCTTCACTGCTGTTCTTCTTCCTACGTCTCTCCTCTTCTAAGGTAGCTCGCATCTGCCTTTTTCAGACTGTGCTCTTAAGCATCTCTGAGTCACTAGGTCTGTCTCCCCTTTAAGACCAAAACTGAGATGCCCTCTTTGAGTCTAATTGGAGATCAACTGAGCAGTCACAGGTACACTGGTGTCTTTTCTCTTAAAGAGACAGTATTTTTAAGACAAGTGTTGGCTTTACAGTGGCATGTTTAAAGGGTGAGGGATGGAAGCATGGAGTAAGAAATCTAGAGACAGGTAGTTGAGGGATACATGGCATGCTACTTAAATATGTCAAACCCCCACCCACATGGCCTCTCAAATCAGTGTTTGCTAAGAGCAAAAATTCTAAAAAGTGAGCACAGGATTTTTTTCATCACACACTTCTGCCCTTCTTCCTCTCCCCCTTCACATAATAACTACTAGCTTGCCTTATATAACATTGGTGGAAAGAGAAACATTTTAGACTGGAACAAGATGCTGGTGTCACTGATTCCCAGTTTCAGCATGTATTCCTCTAACCCCTCCATTGAAGTCAATGGGAATTCTGTTCAAGGAGACACTGAAGTACAAGACTCAGGAATAGCTAGAGTTTGGAAATACTCATTATACAATTTTTGTTTTGAGAATTGTTTCTTGATTCCAAACTTCTTCTCGGAAGACTAGAGCATGCAGTGTCTTGGTTTTGGACACACTTTTAAAGTTACATCAGTTGTCTGCTGAATTAACTGTGTGTCAGATGAAACAACTCCAGATCTCACAAGTGAGCTAACTCTGAGATTTGAAACACTCCAGCTCCTACAAAGGGCAAAACTTCAGCATGGAGGTGCCAAGCCAGAGCCCAGCAAAAAGAAAACTGGAGCCCTAGTTCATCACGCAAGTGTGATTGGGAAATTGGAAGTTTCTCTAGAGGTTTTCAGGGTTACCAAGATATTTTTTGACTGGAGAATATACAGAATTGCTATTGGTTAAGGGGGGCTTTGGGGTTGTATGCCTGACTCAGGAATGCATATAATTCTCTGTGAACTCTCCCTGAATGCAAACGCAATACTTGCTTCTGCACTAAAACCTTTTGTTGTTCTGTATAGATGGATGATACTGGATTGTACAAGGTAATAAATATTGATCAAGACAGTGACTATGTGCCATCACTAGAACCATTTCGGCGCTGCACTCTGTGTTATGGTAAGAGCCATATGTATTAGTGAAAATATGCTATTATTTAGTGCTGCCTGGCAAAGAACATGAGAGAGGCTGGCAAAAGGTTAGACAAAGCATTGTTGTTTCAAATACAGGCAGTCCCCGACTTACGCGGATCTGACTTACGTCGGATCCGCACTTACGAATGGGGCTTTCTCGCCCCGGAGCTCGCAGGCAGCGGGACCGCCCAGAGCGCAGCGGTCCCGCCACCTCAACCTCCGGGGCGAGAAAAGCTGCTCCGGGTGCCCCTGGTCTGCTGGGGACCATCTCCAGCAGACCAGGGACACCTTGAGCAAAGCCAGGGAGGCGGAGGGGTCCCCAGCAGACGGTCCCCAGCAGACCAGAGGCACCGGGAGCAAAGCCACAGTGGCGGCGGGGTCCCGCGCCTCCCCGGCTTTGCCACAGCAAAGCCTCAGAGGCGCGGGACCCCTCCGCCTCCCCGGCTTTGCTCC